ACAGGCCATATCCAGGTGGCCCGCAATGCCCTGCGGCTGCAGGTGCAAGAGGTACCCTCAGGTGACAAGGACACCTATGTGTGCACAGCCCACAACTTCCTGGGTTCAGTCAACACCACAGGGCAGCTGCAGGCAGAAGGTGAGTGGGAGAAGGGGGAGGGGAAGGGGCGCAGGCGCAGCGGGGCTCTGTGTCTGTGAGGGCTGGAGCTCCTGCAAGAGGGGGCAGGCCGACCAGAATGGCTGGATCTAGCCGTGCCCCATCTGATGGAAGAGAAACAGCTCTCCTGGAGGCAGGTGCCCAGTCTGAAGGGGAGAGACAGCCTTGCCCTTGGAGAGCCCCCTACGAGGGTGGAGCTGTAGCTGTGCCAAGGGGACCTTGGATGCGGGCAAGGCATAACCCCACCGTCACAGAACCCAACTTGGGGTGGGGGCACAGGCCTGCCCTGGGGAAGCTGGGGTGGGAAGAGAGACACAAGCTCTACCTTCAGGGATGAGGTGGAGCCCTACCTTTGGGGAGTCCAATCTGAGAGCAGAACACAACTTCATCCATCGGAAAGTCTGGTTTGTTAAGAGAGACACGCAGCCCTGTCTGGAGGTCCCCAGTGCGAGGATAAGAGACAGCCTTGTTCTCAGAGATCTCAGTCTTATGGGAGAGCCACAGTCTCACCTTTGAGAGCCCCAAATCAGAACGGCCCTTCCCATAATGCACAGAAGGCTCTCAGATGCCCAGATCCTACCCAGAGGCTCCAGCTCCCACAGGCCTGCTGATCCCTGACCACCTCCTGGTCCTTGGCCCGCAGGTGCACGTGTGGTGGCCGAGCCAGGGCTGGACGTGCCTGAGGGTGCACCGCTGAACCTGAGCTGTCGCCTCCCTGGTGGTCCTGGGCCCACAGGCAACTCCACCTTCGCTTGGTTCTGGAATGGCCAGCGACTGCACGTGAAGCCTGGACCCACCCTTGCCTTCACCCACGTGGCCCGTGCCCAAGCTGGGGTGTACCACTGCCGGGCCCAACACCCCAGTGGGACCACAACCTCTGCTCCAGTCATGCTCCGGGTGCTATGTGAGTATGACTCCTCCCCCCCCCCCCCCCCCCTCAGCCACCTCAGTCTGTCCACACACCTCATATGCCCACCTCAGGTCTTCCTTCTCTTCTGTCTGCAAAGAGCAAAGACCTTGCAGGTATGGAGTCCCGGGTGGGAGGACTCCCGCTCACTGATTGTGTGATCTGGTGCTGCTCAGTTTCCTCATGCATGACTATCAGATTGTTTCCTCACCCCACATGAGGAGCAGGAGATATGGCACGCAGAGTGCCCGGCATACAATAGGCCCTCATCAGCCTTGGTCCCTTACTCCATTCCTCATGAAGGCGCCATGCTGTCAGTCCGATATGGCTGTACTAACAAGCCACTCCAAAACATAGAGCGTAAAATGACAGCTATTTTATTTGCTCACAGTTCCATTGGTCTGTTCAATGGAGCCAGGCTGGGAGCTGGGGGCTTCTGCCAGCAAGTCTCCCTGGTCTCACCTCATGTGGCTGCAGTTGTCCAGTGGCTGAGCTGAAGCTGGGCAACAGATGGCTTCATCACTGGCCTGGCAGGGGCCATCCAGGGCTGGCTGGCTGTTGGCTGGGCGCCTGCCATTTGTCCAGCATGGCCTGGGCTTCCCATGATCAGCTATGTTCGCAGGAGGGCAGAAGCTTGGTCTCTGACGAAGCCCTGAAGTAGCATAAAGCCCTTCTTACGTAGTGGCAAGTCAGATCAGACAAGGAGTGGTGGGGAGGGGGGGGGCGGCTCTACCTCTTAATGGGAAGAGCAGCAAAGTCATCTTGCCTGCGTACAGGGAGGGGAGGATTTGCGGCCATCATCACACTCCCTGTATTCCCATAGACCCTCCCACGATGCCCACCATGACGGTCTTTGTGGAGCCAGAGGGGGGCATCCAGGGCATCTTGGACTGCCGAGTGGACAGCGAGCCCCTAGCCAGCCTGAGCCTCCACCTTGGCAGTAGGCTGGTGGCCTCCAGCCAGGCCTGGGGTGCTCCTGCAGAGCCACACATCCGTGTCACGGCCACTGCCAATGTCTTAAGGGTGGACATGGAGGAGCTGAGGCCCAGCGACCAGGGGGAATACGTGTGCTCTGCCTCCAATGCCCTGGGCTCTGCGTCTGCCTCCACCTACTTTGGAACCAGAGGTAGGTGGGGCGTCCGTCTCCCAGGCCCCTCTGCACAGAGGCCCAGCTCTCGGGTCCAAAGGCTTCCTTCTGAGGTCTTCCCTGAATCCCTTCTGCTGTAATCAGTTTGTCTGACTAGTCCAGACTGGTTGCCTGAAGCGCCTTTGCATGGAGGGGGCTTCTGAGATAAAGTGAAAGCTAGAATAGTTTTCATCTTTGGGGAGTCACCTTGGGAGGGAGGATTGGAGGCCTGGAGTCATAGGTGCCACCTCAGCCTCACCCTTGTGTTCCAGCTCTGCACCGCCTGAGTCTGTTCCAGAAGCTACTCTGGGTCCTGGGGCTGCTGGTGGGCCTCCTCTCCCTGTTGTTGGGCCTGGGGGCCTTCTACGCCTGGAGGTGGGTTCAGAGCTGGGGGTGATGGGGTCACCTCGTCCTCCCCTTGCCCCCCAACATTCCCTCATGTCATTCCTACCAAATTCACAGGCTCCATACTCTCTAGCCTGTCTCTCTTTCTCCCACTGCTCCAAATTTGGGAATCACTTCTAGAATCCTCTTTATATCCATCTTGCTATGGTTTTCTTCTTTCTTTATCTGGACCCTGTCTGTGTAAAGAAAGTGCTGGGAAGGAAGAAAGATAAGGCACCCCCCTTCCCCACAATGCTCCCACTGCTCTGTGCAGTGAGCAGTCTGGGGCTAAGCACTGGGGGTCGGGAGAGGGAGGGGAGGCAGGGGGAGGGGAGAGACCCTCTGAGTCCACTCTTGCGTTGCAGGAGGCATTTTCGTAAGGCGAGCGTGGGTGAGAATTTGGTTGAGATGGATTCTCAGAAGGAGACAGCACAGGTATCCATTCACCATGTGGGCACAAGCAGACACAATGCCTAACTAACCCACAGCGCAAGGTTGGCACCTAGAGACCGCAGTCATATACAGGATGGCCCCTGGGGCTAGGGAGAGAATATGGAGAACCCAGGGACCCCTGAGAAGATAGGGGAGCCACATTCTGACTGGGGCCCACAGCAGTCGCGGGTTTGCTCACTGGGCACTTCTTTGGGCATACCGTAGGCCAGCGTGACTGGTTCTCTATGGGACCTGCTGGCTGGGTGACTGGGGCAGACCTTCTGAACTTAGCAGCATCACCTCCACATCCAAGACACCTCTTGGAACACAGAACCCCACCTGTGTTTTGGGGTCTCTCTTTCCCACTCCTGAGTCTGCCGATCACCTGGGCAGGGGTGAAAGTCTGTTTTCCCTTCCCTGTGATGTATCCCCTCTGTAGATAATCCATTTGGTGGGCCAGGGCTCATAGCCTCATGGCCAGCCAGGCACATGCTCACCAATCCCCTTGGGATCCCTACACATGGCTTGAGGTCTGGGGGACCGCCCACCAGAGTTAGAGGTCAGGTGATGACCGCTCCCAGAGTCCTCATGTGACCAGGGTTTTCTCTGAGGGAAGCTCAGTGGTCCTGATGCAGCCACATGTGGGACCTTGTCCTGTGCTCCACCCCTGAGCTGACCTGTAGCACTGCCTACCCTCAGGAGGAGGAGGTCACCAGAATCTGCAATGACGCAGGCTTCGTGAACAAGGTAGCACTGAGTCCTGCCTGCCTCTGTGAAAACAATTCTGCAACATCTGACTTTCTGTGACCTGGCTCCAAACCTCTTGCCAAGAAAAATGGGCAATGATAGGTGAAGGGGCACCCTAATCTACCCAAGAGGTGCTGACCCCCGAGGACTCTGAGGAGAAACGGACTGGTCATGTTGTCAACTTCTCTGTTCCTTTTCCCTGGATCTCATCTTTCCTTTTCTCTTCCAATGGACTGCCCCTTACATATTTTCCCCCAATCCCGCTGTGGACTTTTTGGATGGATTAGAAAAGAAATGAATCTTTCTACATCCTCACAGACTGGCCTAGGCACTCTGTATTGGCTAGAATAGAAGTTAGGCTGCTGTAATAAGAGACCAAATACAGTAACTTCAACATGAGGGAACTTTCTTTTTCTTTCCCATACGAGTCTGGGTATGCTATGGTAGTTTAAGGTGTTGGAACTCTGGATCCGTCTATCTTATTTTTCTCCATCCCTAAAATGTTACCTTTGGTTGTGAGGTTCACGGTGGCCCCACTCTGTTCACACACAAGAAGGAGAAAAAGTGGACGTTGCAGGCACATACCTTCCCATTGTGGACACAGCCCAGAAGTTGCTTGTCACTTCCACTCACTTCCCATCAGCTAGAGTTTAGTCACATGGCTGCCCCAAGCTGCCAAGGATTCTGGGAAATACCGTTTTTATTCTATTTCCAAAGGACTCCCAACCATGGACTCATCCCTGAGACTTCTAACATTGGTGACAATGCCTCCAGCAGGCCTCGTTTTTAGTGTCCTTCTGCCCAAGGCCAGGATGTGTCCCTGGTCATTCTGTCCATGGGCTTCCCAGAGGAGTTAGTCCCTCTCACATATCAAGACTGAGGAAATCAAGAGGGTTTGGTGATCCCTAGGGAGAGGGCATGCAGGCAATCCGGTTGCCTGAGCAGGCATTTCATCAGGCCCCTGGAAGAGATGCCCCCATTCGTACCTCCAGGGAGAGTGGAGAGCACTCTCGATTCTACTCTAGGTGCATTCCTCCCCATGATCACATGAGCTCACTCGCTCTTCTTGGAGGCTTGTGTGCCCAGGGCTTTCAGGTTGAATGAGGGTCACAAAGAAGGTATAAGTTGCTCCACGAAGTCAGTGCATGAGAGGAGCCAGTTCTTGGGTGGGCTATTGACTCCCCTCATAGCCTGGTGGCAGACGGTAAGAGGAGCAAAGACCTCCCCTGGAATTTGAGCTGAGAAACATGGAGAGTAGTGGGGAGTTGTCATCGGGCGCTAACAGGTTGGGGAAGAAACTGGAGGCCAGGTAAGCTCCATGTAGCCACAGCTGGAAGCTTCCTGGTCCCAGGTTCTAGTCCTTGTAATGCATGATTGCGAGACTCTTCCTGGGGGGCCTGTCTGGCATGTCCTCCCAATAAACATCCATCCTGTGACATAACTGAAGGGAGTCTCTTTCTCGCAACCCAAACTGCTGCACTGGAACACAAGATCCAAATGTGAATCTCTTTCTGGGAGACTGTCTGACCGAGGGGGCCGGCAAGTGCAAATTACATGACATTTACCACAGGCTACCTTACCCTCAAGCGCTTTGCGCCCTTTCCTGCTCCTTGAGGCTCTGGGCGCTGCTCACGCGTCCACGTGCGTCCAGATGCCCAGCACCTCACTTGGCGTGCAGTAGGTGAACACTTAGTAAGCACTGGTTTTTCTACACTGTTGCCAAGTGAGAGGGTGGAAAATGTGCACTAAATCCAGAGGTGGGACAGAGGGAGAGCAAACCAAATGCAGCCGGATGTTTTTGGGCTGTCTGGGGAAGAGAGGGTAAGGGGAGGACTGCTTCTGTGCATCTCCAAGGGGATAGGTCCATCTGGGATTGGAAGGTCCTCAGAGGGGTTAGTTGTCCACCCCCAGAGGTCTAAGGCACCTCAAGACTTTAAAAATAAACTTCTAATTCAAGTGTGACCCACATACAGAAAACTGTAAACTTAATGACTTTTCCAAAAAGGTACACACACATGTAAACAGCACCCAGAGCAAGAAACAGACCATTGCCAGCTCCCCAGAGTCTCCCTTCAGCCCCCTCCCAGGGGCAACCAACCCGAAGGTAGCTACTGTCCTGATATCTAACACCATAGATTTGATTGGCCTGTTTTCGAACTTTATATAAATGGAGTCTTATAGAATATATGACGACTTCAGAAAACTGTCTGACATTATCTATGACAGCTAAAATATTCTTCCCTATGACCCTGAAATTCCATCCCTGGGCATTTATGCAAAAGGACTAAGGGTTTACATCCACTGTGAGACTTGTACGAGAATGTTTATGGTCACCCTGTTCTGGGTCACTCTTCAGAATGAGTCTTGTTTACAGACGGTGTGTGTCACCCATTACGTGAGCACTCACAAAGATTTAACTCTTACTGGTTCGCCTCCTTCCCAGGGTACTCCCCAATGGCCCTGTGGAGAGTGACTCTGGCAAGTCCCTTGGGAAATCATCTTTCCCACAGTCGCACTTCTAGGATCCCTCTTCCTCCACTTTGGTTCAATGCTCCCACCCCCTCCTCTGCGACCTCAAATATAAATAGTGCTCTGAGATTTCAACAGAAAATTCCTCGGATATACTTGGACATAGCTCATCTGGGTTTGGGAGGCATCCACTTTGCAAGGATGACTCCAATCCCCACATGGCTCTTAGGCTACATGCCCACCTTGTTTTATTAGCACTGACTGTGTGCCTTGGCCTGTGCCAAGCACTAAATAAAGACATAGTCCCAGACCCCATGGAGCTCAGGGTCTGGGGGAGACAGACAAGGAAATGGACAACCACACTGCTGTGTGATATATGATGCAGGGAGAAGTATATGCAGGGGACAGCAACCCAGGCTTTGGGTCAGGAAGAACCCCTTGACAAAGAGGCACCAAAGCCTAGGTCTGTAGTGGGAATAGAAGCTCACCAGTTCACTGGTTTCTTGCCAGAGAGGAGAGGATCTTGCCTTCTCTCCCTGATGTCCACATTGAAGTCTCCCCTCCATGTTCAGAGTGTGGCTACTCTGGGAGTCTGCTCTGCAATCCTGGCCCCCAGCTCATTTAGGGCTCAAGCAACCTCTAAGCCCTGCCAGGCCCTGCCAGGCTGCACACTTGGCATTGTCCTGTCTCTGTGATCTCTGGGGCTTTCTTAGTTGCCTCTTTCTTCTTCCTCCTCAGGACCCCTTTACCAGGGTTAGGACTGTATCTCCACAATTTCCCCTTTCTCAGGATCTACATTTGTTTTGGAATCTCTAGGTGTGCTCCTGGTTCGAGATGGAAGCCTAGGTCCCTCTGTCCACCCCGATTCTTCCCCAAATCCTCCCTAAGAGAAGCGATAGCAAAAACGGGCCCAGGGTATGACAGGATGCCTTGCTTTCTGCCCCCCTGGCTCATCTAACAGGAGGATCAGGGAGTTCTGTGCTGCAAGGGGGGGGGGGGGGCTCTGTCGCTGTCAGCACCCGTGGTGACCCTATTTCATCACCCACAGAGGGAGGGCTTGATGCCTCTCCAGCCTGTCCACACTAGAGCTTCCAGTGTGACCAAAGCCATCTAAGTCTATATTAGGTCTGGTTCCCCAAAATGAGGTTTCAGAGGCAAGCGAAGTAAGGCTGTGCTCCGAGGGGAAACTAGTAAAGGGATGAAGGCAGGAAGCTAAAGATACATGCACATAAATGTCCACAGCAGCATTTTTGGTAACATCTCAAAACTAGGAACCACCCTAACTAATGTCCAGCAACAGTAGAATCAATGGGGAAAACAGATGTTACATTCACACAATTGGATGCTATTTATCAATGGAAATAGCTGAACTAAAGCCACACACGACAGGCTGAGTACATTTCACAAACTGAAAAATATTTGCGACTCATATTCCAGAGAAAAGATTAATACCTCTTATATATAAAGAGTTCCTTCAAGTTGTTAAGAGAAAGACCAACAGCTCAATACAAACATGAGCCAAGGATGCGAACAGGCAATTCAGGGTATAGGAACTACAAATGACTCTTAAATGTTTGAACAATTATTTGAGGTCACTGCTAAGAGAAATGCAAATTAAGACTGCACTTTCGAGGCACCTGGGTGTCTCAGTTGGTTAGGCATTTGACTCTTGATTTCAGCTCAGGTCATGATCTCACGGTTCGTGAGTTCGAGCGCTGCATCAGCTCTGCACTGTCAGCGTGGAGCCTGCTTGGGATTCTCCCTCTCTCCCTCTGCCACTCCCCCGCTTGTGCACGCTCTCTCTCTCTCTCTCTCTCTCAAAAATAAATAAACAAACAAATAAATAAATAATAAAAAAGATTCTCTCTTTCTAAAAAAAAATAAGAGAGAGAGAGAGAGAGAGAGACTGCACTTTCACCTTCAGACAGGCAAATATCACAGTCTGAGAACGGTGTTGGTAAGGCTGTGGGCAAAGGAACACTCTAGATATTGCTGGTGCAACCGTAAAGTGGCCCAAGGAATCCCACTTGTAGGAAATCATCTCACAAATTAGTGTGTATATAAAATTATCCATCACAGCATGGTTCATAACAGCAGAAGGGCTGGAAACCATTTGTATGCTCAAGAGGGGACTATACAAGTAAGTGGTAACGTTCAACTACAAAAATGAGGACTCCGCACACCCACTGGAATAGCTAAAATTCAAAAGATTGACAACACTAAATGCTGGTGTGGCTGTAGGGGCACTGAAACTCTCATACACTGCTGGTGGGGATGCAAAATGGTACAGTCACTTTAGGAAATCGTTTTTTTTTTGTTTTTTTTTTTT